GCATAATTTATGTGTCGAAAATAAGTTGATTTCTTTATATTTCGGTTGACCCACTAGGTCCCTTGATATAGAGCAGAAATAATCGTTAAGGACACGAAGCGCTGCTTGAAATGTTTTCTTTGTTTCATGCTGTAGACGACATGAAAAATGTAAATTAAGGATGTGAGCGGTGAAATGTCATATTCTGGCTAAGTACTTCCATTGCGTATTGAAAAATAATTTATGTAATCCTCATAACATCATTGCCAAAATTATTTGTGAAATTAGAAGAAGGAGCTAAGCCCTAGCATTCTCCGTTCGCAGTCATTACTATCGCTCGCATTTTGTATCGCAAGCTTCCAACCTTGCTGTGGAATCCTCACATAAAATGGAGTGTGGTTCGCTAGGACAGAAAGCGACTTTTTCGCATTTCGCGACGCGAAGCTTTTTTCGCTGTGGGAACCCCAGGTCCACCCCTGATCATGAGTGGACCTGGGGTTCCTCGCAGCGAAAAAGTTTCGCGCATGAAAAGCGAAAAAGTCGCTTGCTGTTCTAGCGAGTCACACCCGTAAAATGTAGGTACTCCGTACTAGTATTGCTCTTTGAGTTTTCTTTAAGCTCACCCTTTGTTTCGGAAAGGGAGCGGATAAGGGTGAGGTTCCCGCTTTTCGTTGAAGATGGTGTGCAGTAAAAACGCAAGCTTACCGTCTATAGTAGGTAGTAATGATTGAGGCTGTATGAGGAAATGGTAATGGGAAGGAATTTGGGTGCGGGATAGGAAGTCGAGCCACAAAGGGATATGATGCTTTGAAGTGAATGGATATATATGGTAAATGGTATCAGAAACCAGGAAGTGCATTTGCAACGAGGGTTCGTTCCGCATTTTGTGATGCAGAAATGTCCACGTAGGAAGGTTTCCTATCGTGTTTTTATCATTTTGAAGTTATTCAATAAGAACGAACTCAACGCACTGCCAAACATCGTAGTGCGTACCTCCGCGTTTTTTTTGTATTTTTTTTACATCAAAACCGTAAATTCTGAAAGCTCATTAAAAATAAAATGAATACTATTTTCTGCGCGTAAAATACATTTGTCCACTTTTGTGCAAAAAAGTCAACAAACAAAGCAGTTAGTATCCAGGAGGCAGTGCTGCGTGGTAACGTGCGAGATGCGGAAAGTGGTAATGTATTGAAGCTCGAAGATTGCGCCACCATCTCTTCTGCGCTATCATCGGTGTGTTCTACACCGATCGTAAAGTAAACACGCGATTGCTGAGTTATTTCAATTTCGTGGTGCAAATTCGAAGGTCGTACACTTCCGCATTGGTGCTCGAAGTTTTCGATTTTGTAGTCCTGTCTGCTGATTAACATATTGAAGATGTCAACTCCGGAAGCGGAATCAACAAGATGTCAGCGTAGTCTAATACACAGTAAAAACGACGATTTCTGAATTTTTTTGGTCTACATGAGTGAAGAAGTGAACCCATACTTTTCCATCTCATTGACGACCAAGCATAAGTACCCTTCCCATTTGGCGGAATATCGAAAATATATGGGTCATACGCTGCGATTCTGCGTTGTTTGTTGATGGGATCGGACACTCAAGGAAACTTTTCTGACGTCAAACAAGAAATATAACACCAATTTCATGGTCAGACTTTTGTGAAAAGCTCTGAGGGATTGGTATACAGTAACTCAACTCACTGAGAGATCTTGTAGGGCTAGTTTAGCTTGTTGTGAGGACGAAAAGGGCCGCTATTGGTGGGTTCTCGGCTCCTCGCAACCGCAAAAGTACGTAGCGCGCTGCTGTCATCGTCCATTACGTCAATGCTTCCGTATAGCTCTCCAACTTGATAGTTGCTCATCCGCGCCACTACGGTAATAGTGCAAAAATTGCGTTGAAGCGCATTTGAAACACGCACAATCTTTCATCCTTCTCTAGGAATTTTCCTGCTAGTTAATAGAACCGCTGTAGATTTTTTGCGTTGTACGCTTGGATAGTCATTTCACATAGTACAGGGTGTTTCATCACCAACGAAGGAGCGTCCCAAGTCTTGAAATAAAATCTCGTTTTACGATGTAGTTTTTAGGAGAGGACATTGTATTCCTTGCGACAGATATCAATTTACCTGGTGCAGTCGACTGGGTCATGATGCAGAGCTGCTTTGGCTACAACTTCATGCTTGTACTAGGTGGCTTCAGTTTGTTTAATAGAATTTTGATCTTGCAAAAGAACGTGGCTTTTCAGAAAAACAAGAAAAATTCGACCATGGACAGCAAGTTTTTTACGCTGTTGTGCAGCTTATTGGTGCTAAAAAAGAAGCAGACAATTTTATGTATCGGTAGGTCACTTAAATATGTCGCATGCAGCTTGCTTTATTTTCTCATTTATGATGTGGTGAATCTCTTTTATGAAGGGGAATTCTCGGTTAAAGGCCGAACAATCAACATATTTCAAAAGCTGTTTTTTTTTTGAAGATTTTTCTTCGGTATATAATAGAACAGAGAACACAGTTTTCAGCTGTAACTAGAAAATATAGCACAGCTAATTACATCAAGTCATAGTGGATTAAGGCGATTATTTTGTGCAAGTGTTTGTGATGCTTCTGTTTGAACCCCATTTCCTTCTCTATTTTCATTTAGGGGGGGGGGGGGAATAGCATTTTTTGAATGCTGCTGTTCTCCCAAACTTATTCTCTTTAGCTTCACTGATGTATGCATTTCCTTTTAGTTTGGAATTGTCTACAC